CCCTCCGGAAGTCCATGATAGCAGTTTTGTTCTCTAGCAGATGTTCTCTAGCCACTCCTCTCCCAGCTTATACTTATGCCCAGCATTACTTCACCCTAGGTGCAGAATCCGGCATTTTGACTTGTTAAATTTCATCACATTAACAACAGCCCAGAGCTCCAGTCTATCTAGATCCCTCTTGCAAGGCCTCTTGTCCCTCAAGAGAGTCAATAGCACCTCCCAGTTTCACATCATCATCAAACTTGCTTCATGGTGCATTCAATTCCTGCATCTAGATCACTGACACATTGAGCAGGACTGGCCCTACAATTGAATCCTGAGGAACAGTACTAGCGAATGGTTGCCAGTCCAGCGTAGCCCCATTCTCAACATCCCTTTGAGCTCTGCCTTTCAGCCAGTTCCTCACCTAGTGCACCGTGAACCTGCTCATCCCACAGTTGGACAATTTATCCAGAAGGATGCTGTGAAATTAATGTTTCACATTAAGGTAGAACTAGAACTGTAAATACAGACTGTATTTACATAAGCAAAGACCTGAGATCTTACTCTTTAATAATTTTTCCTTGCTGAAGACAAAATTGGCAACACTGGTATTTTAAGCCGACAGTCAGTATTTGTAGAAAGACTGCTGTAGTAACAGCCAGTTCGTATGATATAAGAGGGAAAATTACAGTCACCAATTTTTAAATCAGTTACACTGTAGAAAAAGTTAAAATAAACTTGACTAGCTTTTAAGACACTGAAGCTCTGTATCTCTGCAAGGACAGAACATTGTAGAATGAGTACCAGATGAAGCACCTCTTGCATTAATAAGTCCTCTCAAATGATTCAACTTACCTTCTCTTGATTAGTAAGGTAATATCTGAATTTCCAAACTAGATCCTGTTCCTCATATGTTAGCTGCTTTGTCGGTGGATAACTCACTATGATCTATTAGATACACAGTCAGAAAGTGAGTTTAAAAACATGAACAAGCATAATCAACAAGTTAACAGACTACACTGTGACAAAGCACAACACTGACAACACACAAAAATAGGTAGGAAAAAAAGCAACTTTCCAACAACACAAAGTTCTCATGCTGTCATGGTGATGCTCCTCAGTTATGTGCTTGACTGAACTGGCAGCGTAGGCAAACATACAGTTACTTTAAGACTACCATTAACACCTACATGGTATGTGCACAATATGCATTCTTCCCCTCCCAAACCTGTTTTAAAAGAAAAAGCACAAGTACCTTCTGCTCCTTTTTGAGTAGGACCCATCTAAATAAGCACTTGTAAGAAGCACTTAATGACATTTCTTCATTATTGATTTTCCTTAAACAGAAATGAACTGTATTTTTCTTAAATTGTCACCGTATACTATTACCAACCTACCTAATAAAATTGAATTTAGTCATCATACAATTGACTTACATTAAGCTGATCTCGTGTAGCTGCATTAGGCTTCAGATCATGATCAGAAGGTCCACTTCTTAAACTTCGAGCAAGCTTGTGATGTTTGCTTTCTACTAAGTTCTCCTAAATGCAGAGGGTAAGTCCATATTTATAAATATTTAAACTCCAGCAAAAATTACTACTGAAATGACACCATCTAGCAAAGACTCACCAGTATCTTGAATAAAGCAGGAGAATCAAAATTCATATCTAAAACTACAGTGTCTTCTGGATTTTTTTCTGTTGTTTTAGAAGAAATTCCTTCAATAATATGTGGAGAGTCATCAGGGATTTTGAGGTTTTCTTTTGTGGTTTTTTTTGGGGGAGGGGGAGGTTGGGGTTTTTTGGGGTTGGGTTTTGTGGTTTTTTTTTGGTTTTTTTTGGTTTTTTTTTTTGTGTGTGTGTTTTTTTGTTTTGTTTTGTTTTTTGTTTGTTGGTTTGGTTTGGTTGTTTTTTACTTCACGCAATTTACAAACCCTATCTTACCTTTTGGTGAATTGCTGCAAAACCCAAGCGCTTCATTCAACACATCTGTGATTTAGACAGCACTCAAACGTGCTAGCTGCTTTATAAACATTTTTAGGATGTTTGCAGTATAAAGCTTTGTATGCAAGAAAAACTTTTCAAAAGTTTTCCCACTGTTAATACCATGTTAGCAACAGTAGGAGCCACAGTGTCCATGAGATCCCAGCAGCCAAGGCAGTTTTCAGCATTATCAGACTTGCTCTTGCAGTGTTAGATTACACAGTGCTCAAACAGTGTCGCCAGTAGAAGCCCACTTACATTAAGGTTCCCAAAGCTGCCAATACCAGTCCCACTGAATTGGCATCCACAATAATGGAAATCTTTTCTAGAACTGTATTTAGGCACTGTCTACATGAAAGACAACATACAAGAGAGTGTAGGGAGAAAATATTTTAACAGATGAAGTGACCAAGAGTTACTGCACCTTGCTCTCAATTTCTTTTATTCAGCTCCCTCTTACCTGATATTCCCACCCTCTGACCTCTTCTGCCAACAAATCCCCCTTTTCTGCTTTCCTACACCTCAAAAGCTTCAGGTATTCAAAAGAGGAGATGAACATAAACATTAAATCAATTCTTGTATTTTACTCTAGCAGCAGGAAAAAAGAATTACAAAAAGTCAAACCCACTGATATTTCTCAACTGGTCAAATACATCATTCCACTGGAATTTTAAAATATTGAAGGCAGCAATATAGGCAAGCTTTCATTTCCGTTTATGAAAACTTCAACAAAAATACTACAATACGTGTTGCCCTGGCTGGAGCATGCTTACCATAGACATCTGGGGATCTGGAATCTTAACTATTTCAGAACTTGTTAAAATTGGAGATGACTCATCACCATCCTGAATGACAAAAAGTAAAAGGCATATTAAACGTCTCAAGTTTTAGGAAAAATACATGTCATATTAATGTATTGTGAATTATATTACAGTGAAAGAACAATGCAACACCACCTTCCTGACTTTTGATAGTTATAAAGAGGAAAACAGAAAATAAGAAATGGATTCTTTTTCTTGTAAGTTTTTGCCAGATGATAAACAAGATGGCAAGTCTGAGGTTTCATCCGAGGAGACACAGCTTGGCAACTCACTACTCTGCTGGCACAAAGGCGAGTGGAGAAATTAGCCATTACCATTACATGTGTCCTCTGGAAGCACAAAGAGAAACCACATCAGGATCCACACTTCCACCAAAACCAAATCACTTCCTAGAAATAACAACCATGTTGCAGACAATATTTCCTAACAGTACAACACAGATGACTTTAGGAAGGCATACGTGTGCCTATGTACCATAGGTTCCACACAGAGCATTACAGCCTCTTCCAGAAGTTCCTGCTGTGCTGCTCTTGAGCAGTGGAACAGAAGCCCCTTAGGGTTCCTTCGGGGAGTCTAACCTGCTGCTGCATAAATAAGGGAAAAGAGAGGCTGAAAGTTTCCTGTTTGAACCAGGAAGAAGGAAAAAAATACAAAGCCTGCCAGCACATGAGACAAACAGCAACTCCATTTCCCTCTTCCAGTTACAACCAGCTGTTTGGGTTTTTTGGTTTTGGGGGTTTTTTTGGTTTTTGTGGTTTTTTTTGTTTTGTTTTTTTTACCTTAAAAGTGTAACCAAGCATTAGTTGACACAATCTACAGAAGAGCATCTCATTTAAAAGACAGTATAAAACAGTAAAACAGAAAAAACAAGACAATACCAGCATAATATGTACCATACTATATTTACACTTAGTTTGTTCTCATTTATTTTGGAGTAGATTTCAGCTCAGAATAAAGGGGTTTCTTTGGCATGTCAACATTTCCCTCAATAACGTAAGTTTTGAGATAACTTGCTCAGGTTTGCTTCTGCCCCCACCCTCCTTTTTTTTTTTCTCCTGCTTTTCCAATCACATATGTCTCTTGGGATGGCTTTGCTTTTATAGTTTTCAGATGCAACTTTCAAAAGAAGTGAGGGGCTTCTACCAAAGGGAAGAACAAGTCACCAACAAGACACAGGAGTTAAAATTGCCATTAACATATCAGGAGAAACATTTTTTTCCAGCTACATAAATTTAGTGTTGCTGACTACAGTAGAAGATCTTACTTCTTTGAGAGTTATTAGTGTCCCATGCCTCTAAAGTAACAATTTTACAGTCAAAATAATGACAGTGACTACATGCACATCCTTCCTAATGAAGGGAAATACACGTAATCTGGCTGTGGCTAGTGATGGTCCCAGAACAGGAGCAGGACTGCTTTTCTGATTAGTCTTTAAAAAAAGTACTCATGCAAACACTGAAGAGGACATTTGCTTACAGTTTCTCTGTGTTAAAACCATCCTGCATAAAAAATGACCTTAGCTTTAACCTAATTGTATAGAATTAATAGTATTTCCAAAGTATTTCTATTACCACAAAATACTACTGCATCAATATAACAGTAGACAGAACTGAGTCAGAGCCACATTGACAGCTGAGCACTCACATTGTACTAAAACTTTTGCCAACCCATCACACAAAACTTTCAAGTCATGTTATACTAGTTTTGCAAAGTCAAATTACATAAAAAACAAGTTAAATTGTTTGGGGAAGAGGGGAAATCCTTCTGAAAATAAACACATCCGATGACAAGAGATGACAGACTGATTTTTATCTACTAATTAGTTATCTTCCTAATCAAAACCATAATCAGGCTGCAATCTGACTTCACCTTTATAAAACAACAAAGGGTTACCAGTGACAAACAAGCTACCACTCCATTTAGACCCTGCACATAAAAGCACTGTAGGAAAAACTTGACACAGGAGTGGATTCACTAGCAACTAATAAATGTTCAAACTCCTACAGAGGCATTTATAACATCCATCTCCCATGTGGATTCTCTAGGAATAAGTAATAATAACACCCATACTACTACATCTTTCTCTCACTGAAAACATTCAGGTAAAATAGCTGTAAAAGGAAAGAGTCTGACAAAGCTTTTAGGCTGGTGAAAATGGAGCACCTACCCCATGACCAGAAGTCCATGAGAGCTATTACCAACTCAGAACTTAGTAGCATGAGAATGACAAAAGCACAATTGCCTAAAATTTGCTTGCTTACAAAACTAAAAAAATACACAGAGCCTTCCAGTGCCTCATGTCAAATGTTTATAATACCCTCTAAAACAAAGATTGGGGATTTTTCTTAAGACCAGTGTTAGCAGAATGATTTCTAAACTCATTGCTGGCATCTCTTTTTGTAACCTCTCAAGTATAATAAAGACTGTTCTTTAAACTCCTCTTCTCAAACCTAGTTGGATTATGCTGAAGAGCCAAGCTGAAAAGCTCTAGTTATTCAGCTCAAGCACTAGGAAAACTCTGTTCCTAGGGTTTCATTGCATTTTAGAACCAAGCCTTAAACTTAAACCAAAACTTGCTATGAAACCAAGTTTCGCCAAGCATTCATGGGACAAGTTACTGTGTCAGGAATTAACACCATTTTCAGAAGAGACTATTTTGTAAAACCCTCAAGAAGGCACAATGTCATACCTGGAAAGCATCACAATGGATCACTGTGACCTTGACCATACAAACTTACTAAACCATACCAATGCCTGAGGGTCAGCTCTAAACTAGGATTTGAATCTCGTCGGGTGCCTGCTTTGAAGTGCCTCTCCTGATTATCGCTATGTAGCAAGCTTTGGTTTATAACATGGAAGTTTTAGAAATACCTAATGTCCTCCAACTGCCAACAGCTATTCAGCCCACGGGACTGGATTAAAATTAGTCCCAAGTATAAGCAGAGTGCAGACGCTGGGCCTTCAGCAACAACTTCACTCTGTAAATCTGCTCCTCTTGGCTGCATGACTTGCTAGCACGGCCAGAACCTGAGATGACCTGCTATTTTGCCACTGGAAAACAAAAGCAACATCAATACTAAACAGCATTAATTTGCCTTAAACTATATAGATTCATAGAATAGTTTGGGTTGGAAGGGACCTTTAAAGATCATCTAGTCCAACCCTCCTGCAATGAGCAGGGACATCTTGAACTACAATATGTTACAGAGCTTTACAGGTATTTCACTACATTAAGGTCAGTATATGTGACTGTATATAAATATTACAGTCCATTTAAGAAGCCAACAAAATTTGCAGAATTTTCAAAACCAGCAAGGTTCTTCTGTACTTTCCTGAAAATCAGTTTCACAATATCAATAAATATGGAGGTTCTATTTACCTTACTCTTCAGTCAAAACATCATTTCAAGTAACACCAAAGGGATCCAACTTCTCCCATACAAAAAATGGACACCCAATGCTGTAGACACTTTTTCTTTCTTTCAAGCCATGAAAAAGGCTCTGATAATCAGACTACTTTTTTTTTTTTAAATAAACCAGATGCAGCATTGCAATCAATTTCTTTATTCAAAGGTTGCACTTGAAACCTGCACAAAAACACATTAACGATAAATGCTGGTGTTATGTGCACTTGAAAGTCACACTGAACTTTTGCCTAAATGGGGAATCGGAAGCGATGCTCTCATTACTAGCATCTTGTGCTATCCTTCACACCTCGAATGCTGTATTAAAATTAAGTTAACAGAGAACGTGGAAAAAGCCACTGCCACGCCACTTCATTGTAATTGAATGTTGAGTCAAAGAATCTCAAATTCTATCAGCCACTGTTTAACAGGCTAGTTCTTCGTAAACACTTGAAAACAAATTTATCAACAAAACTGTGACAAGTAATCTCCACTTCGACTATCGGTCACAGGCAGGTGACAACAGAACCTACTTTCATTAGACTCAATATACTGGATTGGTGATGCTGGATATGTATACTGTACAATGTAATTGGAAGCATGACAAAACTGAGAAGACAGGCAGTAATTTATGTACTCTTTCCTACTGCTGCCAGAAAAGGGTCAAGAACTTGTTGAAAAGTTACTTCATAACAACAAATCCCTCAAACTGCAGTTAGTTATAGCTTTAATATGTACTATTACACATTGAATTACTTTATTTCCACAAGAACAGCCAATTCATAGTTATTTTGTTCCATGCACTTTTAATATGCTTCAGAAACATCCGTTAAAAGACAGACACATGCTTCAAGTCTGAATCTTCTTTCCCACACCTTGCACATCTGTGAAAGCATAATGATGACAAAAAAAAAGAAAGGGTTGTGTGTGTAAATTGGGAATAATTCATCTACAATGGTAGGTTTCTGGAGGCGAGGGACAGAAATCATTTTTAGGAATGTCACATTCAACTATAAAGGAGCCAAGAGGACACAAAGCCACACAGTAGCCATGCTCATCAGTTTGCACTTGTGAAAAGCACAAGCCCGTGCGAATATAAAAAGCTAATGGGTAGTAAAATGTTTCAGTATTTTAATTACATTCCATTATGCTCTCCATGAAAATACTGTCTTGATTTCCACAGAAGTAAATAACTTTATTTTGTTTCACTATGAAACAGGCTATGCTAAAGGCAAAAAGACTTGGAAAGGAGGGGAGAAGTCCCATTGCCAACTACAGTCCACCAAAAGAAATGCTAAAGAGCTGCCTGGACTCTCAGGAAGGAAGCTAAGCAAGTTTCTAACCTAAACATCTGCCTAAGACACAGAGTTGCACTAAAATTTTCTTTTTCAACTCTACAACCTGTTTTTAAGAGATTTTAAACAAGCCTTAAGTTCTTCTGTAATAGCTTACCAAGAGACACAGTCAGTCATAACTAAGCAACTACGATGTCACACGTGACTACAATAAATGCCGGGGGGGGAAGAACCAAACACCAAAAAAATCCACCACCCGCACAAAAAAACCCCAAACAAACCACAATAAAACCAACCCCCCCAAACCCAACCACACACACCACCACCACAGAACAAACACACAAACAAACAAAACAAACCCAATACACACACATGGCTCTCCCACTCCGATTTTGGGGAATCCTGCTTTTTGCAATTTATTACTGTATTTTTCACTACCTCCTTCTAGAATCTTAAGTTAGATCACAGTTCTGTTGCCCAAATCAACGGGTGATGTCACATACACCGAAATACTTGTAATCTATTTTCCATTTATTAACGTTTTCTGTATGAAATTACAGTGGGTTTTTAAATTCCCAGAACAGACACTGCTTAAAGTTAGTGCCTCTGTTCTCAGTTGGACTCCAGTCTCTTTTTCCGCCTTCTTTCTCCTTTCCATAAAGCTGCATTATTCAGTACCCTTCTGAAATCTTATGAAACTAAACATGCTGAAAATTTTAAGAGGTAATTACTGACTTTTTTTTTAAAAAACAGATTATAGATATACCACTTTTTCTATTTCACTGGGTCTTTCTAAATGCACAGGTCCATAAAAGTACTGATAATGCCTTCCAAAGCCACGCTGTTGTCTTGTTAAGCTCACTGATAATCCTTCATTCCATTAAACCTGAACTCATAAATAAAAACAGAGGGCATTGCTTTGGAGATCTTTTGTACATGGAAAGAAAAGGTATAAGATATTCCAATCCAGAAGTCTTTTGCTTAACTGACTTCCAAAGCATTTTCAGCATGAAAGACTAAACTTTTGTATTTGTTAATTTTAGAGAAAATGTTCACCAGCAGAGCTCCTGTGCAGAGTTTTAGTAACTTATCTTTCATAAAGTCACCAATCAATACAGGTAATTTCTTCCCAATACAAGACATAATTTTACATACAGCTACTCTGAAAGTACTGCTGGATGACTGAAGGAACCATAAATCAAAAAAGTGTTTAATCACACTTATTAAATTCTGCAATCTTGAACTGTATTACATGAATGATTGACTTCAGCAATCTTGCTGCATCTATACTATTTGATTTGTATGTACATAAACATTTGCCACTGACAGCTGTCTGACGCTATCCTACAGCAGAATATTTCACCAGAAAAAAACTATCCTTCAGCAGAAAAAATTACCCATTTTAGGTGCGTATGTTGCTTTTTAGAGACGACCATGAAGCCTGCAAGGCACATACCTTTTCGTAGTAAACTATTCCATATTCTTTATCATCAGACTTGACGCAACGGAATTCAATCATCAGGTACATAAAATTAGAACTTCGTTTTTCCCTCTGAGAAGAGAACCATCACAGATGTGCATCATCTATTAAAGTGCATCAATCTTCAGCATTCTCAGCACAGAAATTACCCTACTGCCTTTGTGCTGTAACTGATTCATTAGATTATCAGTCATTGTAGCAATTATTCAGTTAATCATTTTACTAGCACTACCTGAGATCATATGACCTTCTTCCTGACATTCTTACTTCCTTACATTCCCACTTCACGATGAACATCTACATGTAACAGATAAAAATCACATTGTTTTCATCAGTGGCTTGCAATTGTGGACTGAAGGTATTTAAAAAGGCAATGAAGAATAACCAGCTGACAGCTGGGATTTTTCTGTGTTTTGGGTTTGGTTTTGTTTGTTGTTTTTTTTTTTTTAAATCCTTACATACAATTATGCATGTCAGAGGCAAAAACAGAAGACAAAAAAATATTACAAAAAAATCAGCATTTCAGATCAAACCATGAAAGAGACAAATTAAACTTGGACTACAAGATTAGATTTGCAGCTCATTCACTTTCAGAGGAAGATTTGCTTATGTATGCATTTCTAAAATGTTTTAATTAGAAAAGTGCTTTAAAATCTAGGTGGGAAGAAAGAAGTTACATAACCACCACCAGGAACATACATTTAATAGAAAAATAAGCATTCCCTTGAATAATGAGCAACTGAAATTAGTTTCATGCATTAGTAATGGACTGACTTTCCAGCACAGGCAAAGTGGTTCTCCATTTAAGGCACAGCTCTAGGAAACAGGAATTTTTATTTTTCTGTTTTTTTACAGAAAGGGAAGAGAAAAATAAACCAAAAAAATCACAATAAAAAACCACTGTGATAGACAGACTTCTAAAAAAAACAAACAAAAAAAAATCATAAGGGTTTATAAAAACACAAATTTCAGTTCAAAGAGTCTGATTCCCAGAAGACAACAAAAATCTCAGAACACAAAGCAGAAAACAATGTTCTGTTGTGCCAGATGAGTATAATCAGTCAACAGTTTGGGGGTGATTTTGCTCAATGAGGGTTAACACCTCATTCAGGTACTTATCTACCAAATAATTTTTTTAAAATATTAGTTCACATCTTAGAAGTGTTTTACCTCAACAGACAAAATCAAAACCAACAAAGCTGAACAGGTCTAAAACCAAGGAACAGGCTGTATGTCCAAAAAGTTTCCCATCAAAATCTACACCATAGAATTAAGTTAGTCATACCTAACAGCATTTGTTCAAAGCTACTCCAAATTATGAATAAATTCTGTCTGTGATCAAGTTCACTGGATACTGAAAACTTGTGAAACAGCTGTCTCTCTTGGTGGATGAAAAGCTGGACATGAGCCGGCAATGTGCGCTCCCAGCCCAGGAGGCCAACCATGTCCTGGGCTGCCCCCAAAGCCGCGTGGCCAGCAGGGCGAGGGAGGGCATTCTGCCCCTCTGCTCCACTCTGGGGAGACCCCTCTGCAGGGCTGCGTCCAGCTCTGGAGCCCTCGGCACAGGAGAGACATGGACCTGCTGGAGCGGGGCCAGAGGAGGCCCCAGCAACGCTCCGAGGGCTGGAACCCCTCTGCGGGGAGGACAGGCTGGGAGAGCTGGGGGGGCTCAGCCTGGAGCAGAGAAGGCTCCGGGGAGACCTTCCTGCAGCTGCCAGGGCTGAAAGGGGCTGAGGAGAAAGATGAGGACAGACTTTTTAGCCGGGCCTGTTGTGCTAGGACAAGGGGTAACGGTTTTAAAGTAAACAAGGGTAGATTCAGCCTAGATATAAGGAAGAAATGTTTCACAGTGAGGGTGGTGAAACCCTGGCCCAGGTTGCCCAGGGAGGTGGTAGATGCCCCATCCCTGGAAACATTCCGGGTCAGGTTAGATGGGGCTCTGAGCAACCTGCTCTAGTTGAAGCTGTCCCTGCTCCTTGCAGGGGTGTTGGACTAGATGACCTTTAAAAGTCCCTTCCAACACAAACCATTTATGATTCGATGAGTCTCCTTACTGCCAAAGTAAAAATAACTTTGGAAGCTTAAAGAATTATTTTTCCTTTTATCATATACACTGGCAGTTGAAGAAAAAGAGGACAATTACTTAGAGTTAGTCTGCTAAGCAAGCAAAGGCTCCACATTAGCAAGATAAAAAAAAAAAAATTTGCAAGTCAGAAGTATAATGACCTACCTCATTGATCATTTCTATTTCTCTAAAGGTCAGTCTGTCCAGCCAGTCCACTTTCACCATGTGACCTTGCCGATGAGACTTGGTGAGCTGCATGAAAAAACACAGTAACGTTTAAATTGCTCGGAGCAAGAAAAAAGAATATCAAAGTTATAATTTAACAGAGACATGAATATGAAATTGGGTGGGGAAAAACCAACTAACTGGAAGAAATGCTTGTGCAGTACGCACACAGTAGATCCTTCTAAACAGCTAACCCATGCCATAAACATAATTCTAGTATCTAAAACACCAATCATGGCAAAGGCAAAAACCATGTTCCAAGCACATCAGCTTTGGATTTTTACCACATTAAAAACAGGAACCTATTTTTAAAACAAAGTCACATAACAAAGACATTTAGGTTTTTTGTTTTACTAAATTTCATATAGTAAAACTTAACAAGCCAAACAAAAAGAAGGTATTTCAAGAACTATCCAAATTGAGTAATTCTGCTCTTATAAGCCTTACCTAAACAAGTTTTCAGACCGGGACTTACACATCGCAAAAAGTCAGCTGAAGACTTACAGTAAGTCATAAAGAGCTTGTTCTTTTTAGTCACCTGTAAAGTAGTTCAAGTTTTACTCCTACATCTATATAGTGTTGTAGTAATAGCAACTAAGTTGAGTTGTTTAAAGGACTACCTAACAGTAGAAGAGTGGAAGAGAAGACAGGTAAGATTTGAGCCATACTACCTGTAGTTTCAGATGGACTGACACACAATACTTTATGAAAAATTCAGCCGATGCAGATGACCACACAAATATGAACAGGAATCATCTTTTCAGCTCCTAAGAAATCACAAGTGTTCCTCAAAAACTTAGTAATTCTTGCAGTATGCAAGAAGAGATGCAATGGGACTACAAGACAACAAGTTCTTTCATGCTTCAAAGAAATCAGTAGCTGTCCAGAAAATGGCTAGTGAAGAGACCCTCAAAATTATTTGTGTTACGGGAAGGGTTACAACTAGTACTTCATCAGCCTTGTTCTGTGGTCAGCCTGCCAACTCATGAGCATTTAAATTTGAACAGGCTATACAGTCACACCGACTGCTGTTTCTTGCCCAGCTGACAGCTATGGGACAGGCAATAGACAAAGAGCCCTAAGAGAGCATATGAATGGAAGGTATTGTATGCAGGAGAACACAACAGTCTACTTCCTCCATATAAAACTGGAGATGAGATTACTACCAAAAAAAACACCAAAAAAACCCACAAAAAACAAAAAAACAAAACAAAACAAAAACAAAACAAAAAAAAACAAAAAAACAAAAAAAACCACCAACTTGCTATATGCTGGGAGCTGTCTAGGTTGTACAGTTTGTCAGATACATGCACTAGACTTATGGCTCACCACTATAGACACAAAAAACCCCAAAAATCACTGTGAAAAATGAAAAGGTTAAGCATTTGCACCAGTAGTACTGTTTCATTATTCTCACTCAAATCCTGAGTAAACTGATGTCTTACAGTACGGGCGCAAGTATTGTTACATACCAAGGATGACCTGGGCTAAATACAAACCCCACCATGACGTACTCTGAAAAGAGCATCAACTTCATGTCCAGTTACAGATCCTGACAGATCTGGAGAGTAGATACATGACAAACTCACAAGAAGCCAAGGTTCAGAAATGATGCAGAATCAACTAGCTTTTTTACATCTCTTAGAAGCAATGCTGGCATAACAGGCAAATAATTAGCTAGTATCCAAAAGACTGTAAACGGCCATTAAAATCATTAATGACATGAAATTTCAGCATTCTGCAGTCTCCCTACAGGTGTTCTTATATCAGTGGAACTGATCTGTCAAAGATCGGCTGGTAGGCATTTATCCTTGTCTTTTAATACCTTGATCAACTGTCCCTTCATATCCAACAACAGCAGAGCATCTTGCTTGTTCCCTTTCCACAAAGTGACCTCTTGCTATTGAAGATAAGTTCATTGGTTTCGCTTTTTCTCTATTCACCTCCCCAGAGTTTAATTTGGTATTATGGTCTAACACCACTTTGGATACTTGTTCCTACTTCTAAGCACGAAACAGAACTCCCAATTAATTTAGTTTTCTTGGAAACAGCTTATATCAGAAAGAGTTGGAATACATTACAGAACACACCATGGCCTCTGCGCCCTCTCAGGATCTGAATTAAATTTTAAGGCACATTATCTATGAAAGCAAGCATGACCTCTAACTCTGAATGGTGATACTTGCTCATTTCACAAATACATTATGTAATTCAGCTTTAATGATTCTTGGTTCCTACTATGTCTACTAACAATGAGGTCTAAAATTTTCCACTGAATATTAATCCTCAGCTATAGTTATTGGCCCTCCAAGGTAAAGGACTAATCAAAAACAGTCACAATTTAAAAAAAAAAGTCAAAATGTTGGGAGGAAAATCCTGCCCTTTTTTAAAAAAAACAAAAACAACTTACTTCCCGTTTTGCTAGGAACTTTATATTTCAAGAAGCACTAAACAGTAAATTAGCCATGAGCACCCAATGCCCTTTGTTCTGAACTCATTCCATGAAACACAACAGCATAATCCTGTAACGACTGTTTGCTTAAAGCAGCTCATTCACCTAACTTTTCTTTAAACTCTAGACCACAGTACAGCTTGACAGAAATAAGATTTTGATGCAAACTTTGGAAGACCACTGCAACTTCTAAGAATTAACTAACTCTGTTCAGTATGCAGTAGAGGCTTTTTTTCATTTGTTTGTCTCCAGTAAACTCTAGGACACCTAATCTTCAGATTAGCTTCAATAAAACTTAACAGTACAAAAGGAAAAGGAAGGGCGGGGGAGCGAAGTATAATCCTTAATAACATTTCAGGACGCTGGATGTAACCAAAGCACAGAAACCTCGTCTTTGGGTCCTTTCAACTTATCAGCAGGATTTTAAACAGGAGCACAATACAGTAATAATTTTTTGCTATCTTTTGTTATATTCTGCAGCCAGCTCATCAAATTCTATCTCAGCAATATTACAGAGACAGAGCGTGCCAGGACTGCACTAAAAGGATAATGCAAGACTTGGCTTTTGCCTCATGTGTGACTTTATAATATATTTCAAAGGTAGAGAACCAGCAGCATGCAGACCAGTTATTACCCAAAATGCTGTTTCAGGCAGGCTGGACGTGATCACAATGCACTCACAAATGTTCTACCTAGTTCAGAGAAAAGGCCTTCTCATCCTCAGCAAAGAAGGAAGCCCTTACCCTTACATGTCCACCATTTTAGTCACTTCTACATTACTCCCTACACTTTTTTTTTTAACCTAACTAAAATATTTTTTCTTACTCAAGGTAGCCGTCTTATTTCCACTACCTTAAAGCAATGCATCAAAATTTTCAGCATACCACATATTCACATGCAGCCTTGATATACAGACTTAGAATAGCACTTATCAAAGCCTTAACAAAAAAGTCTTGTTTAGACACCTTGGTCACAAATTCTTAGTTCATTTTCCTGTTCACTGCACTACAGAATAAAGAAAAAAGTAATTCCGTATATTTCAGAGGAAAATCATTAATCTCCTAAACCTGGAAACCCCCCTTATAGAGACGAATAAAGTCATAATAGAGCAACTAGTTAGGCCTGCACTCAAGACCCAGAAGATCTGCCGACATACATACACACACACACATGAAGAACTGTTCTCTTGAATTAATATTTAAAGCTTAAAATAAGAGAGAAGTTAGTGCATTCCCTTAAGGGAAAGAAGCATTCATCATCCGCTACTAAACAAGAGGCATCCCTTTAGATATTATCTCACCATTGTCATTATCTAATTCCATTCAGTCAGCAGAAGCAGTGAGGGAAATGAATGGATCAAAAAATAACTTACTTTTTGTTTAATTAGAATAAATTAATCTAACACACAATTCATGATAGAAACATCTTAATGTCATGAATATTAGAGTGTGCTAAAGTATTCCACTCTTCCCACTCATATTCCTTAGTACAGGACAAAATCTGCATTCACATTGACACCCAGGATGCGAAGCCACGGTTTTTTCATCAGTAGCAATTTTACAAGCAACATTCAGGTTTTTTGTAAGAGCATAACCATATGACACCTCAACATAATATGAGAGGCTTGCCATAGTGTCAAGGTAAAAATGATTTAAGGTAAAAGGATACCGCTCCTCCAACAGCCAGTCTTTGATTTTATACAAATTCCATGTAATAATAAATATCACACACACAAACTCAGAAGCTTGTCAAGAAAATAAAAAGCTGTGTTTTAGATGGAGAAAAGGTCCTTCAACAAGCTCTTCTCAGAAGTTAGTTACTTTCCAGAGGACTCTAATTTGGCCTCTGGTATCAGACATCAATCAGTATCATGACACTTACAAATGGTAAGTCTGCGCAATAGATAAACAGAAAAAAGCACCAAACCAAACCAAGAATAACAAAGTCCACACGAACTCCTCTTGTATTTAGTTAGTCCTATTCCTCTTACTGTATTTAAATATACCTTCACATACAGTAGCATCAGGAGGCATTCAGCAACTGATGAACAAGATGTAGAAAAACTGAAGTTCACTGTACTCAACCAATAGCTCTTTAGGAATAATACATCACAAGAACCTCATTTGCTGTGTAAACAGATGTACAAATGAAAGCTCTCACAGACACACTTACCCAGAAACTCTATTCACTTCACTAGCATCTGATGGTAAAATGTTTTTATAAATGAACACAACAAAATGCCAGAGAAAACACTCTCATCTTTCTGAAATTATTATCTCCCAAAACAGCTTTCAGAAGAGAAGTGTGGCAGTGATGTTATTAGCTTTTTATTAACCATTAACTAGAACTCTCAGTTGGGATGTGAAAGGAGAATTCCCTCCTCTTCCTCAGAGGCTTTGAGCCCTCATCTCCCACATGCCCAGGTATTTTAAGACTGAAATACTCTCCCAAGCTCAAGAAATACAAATAATGTAGCATAAAAGAGTGAAGGGAAGAGGAGAAAAAACACTGGTAAGGTATGATCATGTTTGCATAACAGAACTAACATGAAAGGGAAGGCCTACACTCTAAAACTTCTTCTCAGAGACCCACTGCCTGCATCATGTAACCGGTTTGATGAACTATAAACAAGCCTCGATATTTAGTGTCTGTTTACAGAGTTTCCTTAGGCTAGAGGGGATTTATGCTACTACAACCAAGAAATAGGGTGCCACCACTGCCAGAGAGCTTCAATGAGTTTTCCATTATAAATTCAAGGTGAACTAGACTAATAGAAGAGAGACCCTAAATGAAAGTTAGTTTAGTGTTGTGATAAATTTCTAGATGAGAAAATGGACATATTTATAGCACAGGACCGTATCTTTCACTGGGAGTTGCGCAAAGGTGAGGATGAAAACTAGGAGACCAAGACTAAGAAGAAAGTACACTGAGTAAGTGGGTTGAGGGATTTGGCAAGCTTGGGATAAGCTTACCTGAAGAATGAGAGATATCGGCCACTCAAACAGTTCAAGAACTAGTATTTACTGATCAATTCCAGAAGTAGTTTTGATTGCAAAAATACACTCTGCAACCAAGCTGGGAGAATAAAATACTAACACACACACATATTCATGAGCTTAAATGAATGAAACTTTGGTTAATTTTTGCAGTTCTACTTAAATTCTTTCTAACATAGAGGTTAAGTCATACACATCTGAACACCATGCCAGACAACCTTAAACCTAAAGGATGGCTACTGAAAGAAACTAGACTGTCCTCACAAATCACTGTTAGGAGCTGCCCTCACTGAACCTCATGGAATTTAGGCTTCAAGCACCTTCAAAGGCATGTTCGCATTTTCATTCTTTAAAAAGAATTAGGATGTTAAATTGCTACAACAGAATGCAATGCATATTAAAAGGTATTTATATGCCCCCTTTTAAAAAATACTTCAGAAGCAAATGAGTGTAATCTAGTTTACTCATTTCTATAAATACTGTGAAATATCTAAACAATCAAAGGAAGACAACTTTCACGTGAGAAAACAACATGAGAAGCCTATCTTCATTAAAGGTTGTCTTCATTTAACTCCAGTGAAAGTTCAAGCTTTTCATGTACATCTTAAAGGTTACTTGCTATTCCATTACCTTTGCCAAGCGGCTCATTTGATCTTCAGAGACTGTGCTGCTGGTTCGCCCAGGAGTTTTGGTGGGCTCTGAGCCATCAGCTTCCACATTGGGCCAGACTTTCAAGTCATGCATTCCTTGACGAAACATACTGCAGGTAAAAATGCAGAATCGCTTCAGTAAACTCAAAATACTATAGCTGTCAGAAATCAAAGTACAACAGCAGCTGCAAGAAAATGAAATAGCTTCCTTTGCCAAACCTACAAACATGCATTGAGATGTATAATTTAACCTAACTGCAAAAATGCCTGGCACCTTGGGCCCTCTATGGCTTTCATTTTTATTGGCACATGGCGTTTAGAAGGCAATGAGTAAGTCTGAGATAACTTATTTGGCAAGTGGAAGAAAAATGGGTAATTCCCAAAGTTAGTGGGGTGGTACAAATGCAAACTGAGGACAGAGCTTGACCTTCATAGTTTTATTATTTGTAATGAAGCAGAAAGTATTCCTCTTAACTTGCAAATTATAATACTGACTTTAGGTCTGCCAGTCTGAAAAAAAAAAAATCAACTAAAAAACTACCTAAGTTTCATTTGAAGATCATGTGATATAAAGCAGCTTTCTGAGCTGCCAAATAAATAAAAAAAAAGCACAACCCTCAACACAGCATTTTCTCCATCTATGCTTGAAATTGAATTGGTAATTGAAACTGTGCAGCAAACAGAACTTTGCAGGGTAACCGACCACACCTTTTCTCCACAAAACTCTGCGTCTCTTGCACATTTGTGCTGATCCACCTATAAAGGTTGCCCAAAGAAATCAAGTGCATTACTTTGGCCAATAAGAGGTGGTCACTTAACTCTAACAACTTCAGGTAAATACAACTGGAAGGAACGCTGTAAGAAGTCAACCATTAAAAATGACCAATACCGACTAGAAGAACCATCTTACCTTGAATTTACACGTCACTTTGTGCAATACTACTACAATGGTTTCTATTCACAAGTGAATACAAAATTTCAAAATAATTTATTGTTTTCTGTCCATCTACTTCCCCCAGGCCCCGCATGCTGGTAAGAAAAATAAATTTCATTTATAAATAGTATCTTTTTCCAGGAACTATGCTCTAATGCTTTAAACACTACCAGTAGTCTTTGTGGCACAGTCTAACTGACCCAGTTCAATCTTCTGCCCTAAGACAACGTCAATCTTTTTGTCAAAGCAGTATCTTCAGTGACAGATCTACAACCATTTTCTGCATTAAAGGATTGCTAGAACAGCTTTCCTAACACTAAACTTTTCCTGCAGTTCATTTTAGCCTTATTACTTCTTATCCACTGACAAGACAAAAAAAGGCTATTTCTCACCATCTTACAATGCTACTTATATACTAGAAAAGTGTTCCTACAGTCTTTTCTTCAGCCTCATTAGTCTTTACTCCTCCTCCATCACACCTATTTGCTAGATGTTCAATGATATGGACTCCCTTCGACTCCCAGTAGTTAGCAACTTGCTTAAAGTCAGTTATATAGAACTGAACATATCCCAGCCGAGCAGACAAGTATGGAGAAGGAGGATACAACACTGTCCATGACACACTTATTTATAGACTGTTCATATATTCAATGTTTGCACATTTCACAAGAACATCACGAAATAAATCATGCAAAACTTAAGATTCATTCTAAATTCACCTTTTCCTCTGTTCTCCTAGGAAGCTGCTCCCCATTCTGTATTTACAGTCAATTGCAAAAAGTACCAGCGTAGCATACTTTTCCTTAAACTGCATCCTTTTTTTTCTTTTTCAGTCCCCTTTGCACTATGTCAAGATCCTTTTGATGTACTGTCACCTTCTAGCACACTTGTAATCTTTCCCATTTTAGTGTTATAATCCATAAATTTACTAAACCCACCATCTACTGGGTCACAGATTATTAATTTTGAAAACTCCTGATTTACCAAGTTACACATTATTCTTTACGAATAATACTGCATTAACAGCCCAACTGCAAGAATTAAATCAATTATGTTAAGTAATCAGTACTGGCATTAATGCATTACAAAAGTATAAATATGAAGTAATTTCAGCATTTGCTACCTTGAAATCCAAGCTTACAGATCTAATGAAAAAAGCCTAAATGTTGGTGTTATACAAGAAAAGACTCTCTCTTTTTTTTTTTAACAACACTGTAGCATGTATGAAGTTACACTCCAGAAGAGAGTAAATCATCTTTGTATCTGATTTTTCAAACATGGAACTGTTAACCTGGCTTAAACAAAGAAATTTAAAAACCTCTCATAACCACTGCTACATTACTATTCACAAGTGAGCTTCAAATCTGTACCATAGAAGAAAAAGCAGTATACCCATATTTCCCAAAGAGCGAGACTGTTGTTCCTCCCACAGGAACTGCTTTACCGGGTCCATATACATCCCAAATGGTCAGAGCCACCTGTGCATTGCGAGGCAAGTCTGGATACTTCACAGGCAACTTCAGCCATTCATTCCAGCTGTAGAGAAAAACTCTTTATTAGTCATAAAGGTTTAGAATTCAAGTTACTCTGTATTAGTTTATACAGCCCAGATTCTCCTTAGAATATGAAATATTAAGGGCAGATAAGAGTATTTTCCTGTGGGCTTTAACCATTCAAATACTTGTCTTGAAAATGATTAAAAGGCTAGAGACCAAAGGATAAATACTCTAGCTCGATAACTAAGTACCAGTCTGTCCAATAAACACGATGAAAACATGCTAGTCCAGACCCCAGAAGTTACTTAACTAGTCAGCCATGCCCAAACACACAAGGAACAATTTTATGACTTACCCATTACACAAAAAGGTTGGTTTTGTACTGTCGGGGCAACACTTAATAACCGTACAGAGACTTGAAGAAACATAAGAGTTATTTAATAAAGACAACAGAAACCAAATCTTTCTAACACAAAATAAAAACCATACTGATTTATTTACATAACTTGATGCCCCAGTAACTAAGAGGGATATGAAAGAAAAGGCAGTCACTTACTTCCATCTAGTGCTAAAAGCTTTGTAGGAAGTTCTAACTGGAAGAGCAAGAGGTTTCCCTTCTGCAAACACCTGACAAGTTACATACAAGTCGGAGCAAGTTTCTTGATATAGTCCTGAGAACTTCAGCATTGGATCTTCTAGGAGAGCTTTGTAACTCTTCTGTTCTCTTTTCCCTTCCAGACTTCCTCTATGCAGTGGAAAATTAAAAAAAAAAAAAAAAAAAAAAAGGGAGGGGACAGGGAAAAAATAAAAATACAAAATTTATTTTATCCACATCTTTTTCTATTTCCATAGCTTATATTTAGATTACCCAGTACTGAGGCTATCTTCACTTTGCATCACCAGCCAGCAGTGGAATCCAAATACCAGATTCCTCTGAGGAAACTCAGGATGTGAAGTGATGAACAAATAGCAAATTTATTGCTATACTGATTTGGGGATGGGAGAGAAAAAGAGCAAGGAAGGGAAGAATTACTTGTTTGCATTTTCAGTGGAGATAACTTATAGTACAACCTGTAGATTCTCAAACAGCATCAAATGAGATACTCTAAACAGGGCAATGATGAGATGACATATGCTGCTATTATTAAAAAAAAAAAAACCAAACATGAACATACATGTGCTCCAAATACTACCTGGAAAAAAAAAAGCATGGTAAAAAAGCCTTATTTTTAAGCTGTATGAAATGTGAAACGTATGACTGTCTTTGGATGCCAGTCATCTCTCAAATCAACAACAAACCAACTTTCATCTAAGCAGGCTATTCAAATCAAACTTGATTAAAGCTCTGCAACAATTTGCAGAATGCTATTGTTACAGTAAATTGATAGAATTTCATCAGGCCACGATGAAGACAACCATGCATACTAAATATCTCACTGTGGATACACATGTGAGAACAAAAAAGGAATTGTGGTGATGATGGGAAAACGTTAACATCAATCTTCCAGCAAACAAAAATCTATCAGTACCACAAAAACACTTCACAGTAGATGAACAAGTTTCTTGCAAGAAAGTAGCATAGCACATTCCAACTCTGATGCACAAAAAGAAAAAAATCCTAGTTTTATTTTTGTTAGGCAGAATGAATTAGCAAGGAGTACATGCATATGCATCTGACTTCAGATACCATCTTCCATTGGGAAGTTAAACAACCCCCGAATAAGTTTTCCCAATTTAGTTTTCCCAAAAAGTGCAATATAATGCAGCAACATTAGGTATATCACATTTTACAGCTAGCTACATTCCTCCTACACAAATGTAAACGTCCCAGTGCTGTGATGCAGGAAAACTTCAAAAATTAAAAAATGAACCAGCAAATACGTCGGCGTGTGATAACACCAACTTCAACGACAGTGCTTGCATATACCTAGCCAGGAACATACTTACATGTTGCAGCACCTAGATCTGCTTACAACAAAGAACTCGGCTAAGGGCAACTTGCTTTCAAGGGAGGATGCAAACAAGTAGGAAAAAGAGCGTCACCAGTTTAACACTGAGGAGTGAGCTGTGACACCAGCAGGTGAAAGGTTACGAGAGACAACAGCGCTGAAATGACAATCAATCTTTGCCTTAAAGCACCGCCCTGCACTACGGGACCCAAGGCCATGAACGCCCGTCACGCGTTTAGAGCGAAG